ACATTCTGTTTGGAATTAAAGGAGCTCTTGACAGCATCTGACTTTGTTGTTCTGAGCTTACCATTGACCCCTGAAACAACCAATTTCATTTCGGCAGAGGAACTTAGTATTATGAAGTCTACAGCAACACTTATTAATGTAGGTCGTGGAGAAACTGTCAATCATGCTGATCTTACTGTGGCATTACAGAAGGGTGTTATAAAAGCTGCAGCATTAGATGTCACAGACCCACCAGTTCTTCCTAGGGACCACCCACTATTAAACATGTCAAACGTAATTATTACCCCTCATATTGCATATTTGACAACCAGTGTTCAACAACTACGCTGTTCGACTTCATTGGATAATTTGAGGGCTGGTGTCAAAGGTGAAGAGCTTCTTTACTCAGTAAACTGAAAGAGGAAACTGAGTGAATATGTGGATGCAAACTCTAATGAATGTTTGATTGAATGATAACTGTATTCATGCACGGTTAAAAATTCCCATCCACTTAAGACTCTGAAAACAGCTAATTATCATTCAGTTTTGAAATAGCATTTGAACTTGTTTTCTCTATAATGATAATAATTGGCTTGCAAAAAAAATAATAGAATTTGATTTAACTTATTGGATTATTTATCATTTCACCTGTGTGTAATTTTTTTATTTCACTGCAAGGCTCATTGGGTTTATTTAATTTAATTTGTGACTTGAAATCCCCAGATATTTTAACAGTCTGTATTATTATATGCACAACAGCAAATGCTACTGCAAGTGATTCATGAATTTATTTTATTCCAGTTATCAGAAACATTTTCCAAAAAATGCAAAACAGCTATTGGAGATTAATATTCCCAAAATACTTTCAGAGATATTTCAGTGACTGGCAAGACTTGTCAAAGATGCTTTAGCAAGTACACAAGTTTGTGTCTTTAGTCTGTGTAACTCTACTTCTGGTAACTACAGGTAAGAATTAATAAACCTCAGCATACCATTTATGTGCTGACTTTTCTTTTCACTGTGTTAAAAATTTCCATGCTTTTTCAGTGTAAGTGCTCATGACAAGTTAAAGCAGATTACATGATATGAAAATATGTATTATAGAACTGAAATTAAGAAATTTCAGGAGCCCCATCCTAAATTCTTGCAAGTCTGTAATCTGCTTTTTTCAAAGAATACAGCACTGTAACCACTATTTTAGACACTATTGTTAGATTCTAGACACTAGTGTTCTATGTCAGATATTAGTGTCCTATTCTAGACACTATTGTTCTATTTTAGACACCAGTGTCAGATTCTAGACACTACTATTCTATTTTTGGACACTAGTGTCAGATTTTAGGCACTATTGTTCTATTCACGACACTTGTGTCAGATTCTAGGGCCCAGCGTTCTAATTTAGATACTAGTGTCAGATTCTAGATACTAGTCAGTTCTATTTTAGACACTAGGGTCATATTCTAGACTCTGCTGTACTATTTTAGACTCTAGTGTCAGATTCTAGACACTAGTTTCAATTTCTAGACATTTCTGTTTTAGACACTTGTGTCAGATTCTAGACTAGTGTTCTATTTTAGACACTAATGTCAGATTCTAGACTAGTGTTCTCTTTTAGACTCTAGTGTCAGATTCTAGACACTGTGCTATTTTAGGCTCTAGTGTACGATTGTTTACGATAGTGCCTGATTTTAGACGTTAGCATGCAATTTTAGACACTAGTGTCCATTTTTAGAAACTATAGTGTTCAATTTTGGACTAAAAGTTGTGCAGACCAAATGAGCTCTTGAAAGGATAAAAGTGAAAAACAGGTCCCGAGAGATATTGCCAGCTGACTGTTGGTTAACTGTTGGCCAACTGTCAACCGACAGCTTTCATTATGTTTCAGGCCAAGGTTTTGGCCTACTGTCAGCCACCAGTTGGCTGACAGAGGGCGACTTGTTGGCAACCTGTTCTGACCCGTTGGTAACTAAAAGTTGTGCTGACCAAAAGAGCTCTTGAAAGGGTAAAAGTGAAGAACAGTTCCCGAAAGATAATGTCGGCCGTCTGTTAGCTGATTGTTAGCCGTCTGTCGACTGACAGCTTTCGTTATGTTTCAGGCCAAAGTTTTGGCCTACTGACGGCCAACAGTCGGCCGACAGTCGGCGACCTGTTGGCAACCTCAGTCGGTAACCTGTAGGTGGGTCGTAAACTGAAATTATCGTCAACATATTTACTTACCTATTGCTTCTAAAACTACATAAACAGGGGAAAAGTCATTTCAAAAAGATACCTTGTACTGTGCTCTCAATAGCTACCACGGCTTTTGCTCACTTTTTTGCGTTGGTTGGCGAAACTTGGCCAAATTGGTTCGATTTCATTTATTAGCCATATTAAAAAGGTTTTCTAATTCCCAATCCCCGAAATGCCCTGCCTCCGAAACCCTTTTAAAGTTGGTGGCACCATAAAGAAGCCGTCTTTTTTTTTTTTCATTTCTGAGCCGGATGACATTCCTGCTCGTGGAGGCGCGGATTCAACGTCAGTGGGAGTGCTCTTCTTTCCTCCGCATGGCAGTCATCATTGGTAGATAACGTCGCAAACGTTTGCGACATGCCTGTACTAGTTGTTTCACTGAACCAGTGTGGTAGTTGATGCTCCTTGGCATCGACAGTCTTTAACTCAGCGATCCCGACGAAATCCCTGACGGTGCTGCGGGGGCATCTCGCCAGCCGAAAGGCATTGGCCATTCTGCATTGTTCTTCTTGGAGGATGGCAAGCACTCTGCTGTATATAGTGATGGGCTTTCTGCTTCCCATGTTCCTTATCTGCTGCTGCTGCATTAGTAGCCTGGAAACTACGTATCTCCCCTGCGTTACCGAAATGCGGGTTTTTGCCTCGACCAGGGATTTCTTAAGATCTTCGATCACTTTTTCCTTGGTTTTCACAAGGTCGGCATATTTCCTGGCCGTCGCTGTTCAGCTCCTCGATTTCTCGATTTTTTCTCAATAAATCAGCTGTCAGATCCTCGTTCTGCGTTTGCAGTGCCTGGAAAGACTTTCTGACTCGTTTATGGCGTTGAACAAGCTTCGAATACAGCTTCTCGTAGTCTGTCTCTGGATCTTTCTGGGTCTTTTTCTTATGCGGAGGAGGCCGAGATTGGCAATCGCATCTTCATTTGCCGCCACTGCAGCTGTTACAAAGAACTAAACAGTGCAGTCTGGAGTGGTCGCCTCCAGATACAGTACACTTGAGAACTCTGTGATGAACTCATGGTGTGTTTGCCTAAGTGCAAGAGTGCAAGAGTTAATCATTAACAACAGGAGCATTACAATTTATGTTAAGTGTCTGACGTTATGGTTCTATGCTAGCCACTGTCATCCGAAACATCTGCTTAGGAACTTAGAATCATGAAGTCTACAGAACCATGATAATCTTACAGTGGCATAACAGAATGGTTTTAAAAAAGCTGCGGCATTAGATGTCACAAACCCACCAATTCTTCAAATGTGATTAGTACTGCTCGTATTGATTGTCATGTGCCAAACACTACACAGAGGCTGTATAGAAGAAACTGCTCTCAACCCCACTAGATAATTTAAAGGCTGAGGTGAAAGGTGAAGAGTTTCTATTTCCAATAAACCGAGATAAGAAATGATTATGACATGAATCAAACTATACATATGTTGGGGGGTGGACAAGGGGTCAGAATCTCCCGCTTCCCGTGCCACGTTCTCCCGTCTCCCGTACTTTTGTGCCCCTTTGCCTCCCAACTCCCACCCTTCATTGTGTTGCTCCCGTTTTCAGGTTAATCAAGAGGATCAGAAACCTGTAAAGTTTTCTGTATATTTGTTTTAAGTGATAAAACGCTCACATGGCTCCAAAGTATGTTGGTTTTCAAACCTTTGCTAGATAAGTATTTTTGACTGATTAATACCAGTGATAAACAACAAACTATCGCCTTCTTTATTTCTGCTCCCACTTTTCCCCCGTCCCCTGTTCTCCCACTTCCCGCCCTCTCCCACCCCCTGTTCTCCTGGGCTCCTGCCCCCCTCCACATATCTCAATTACACTGGAAACCCAAGCTAACTCACTAGAGATAATGATTCAGTACCGGTAAACTTGTTAATTCTTGTTTATTACCATTTGTTTGCATTTATGGTAACATTTATAAATACAATTATAATAAGCATTTTTGATTAAAAAAAATATCCTTAAAGTTTTCTTATAAATGTAATAGATTTCTTATTTTCATAAATTAATCATCTGATGTTGATTATATCAAAATTACTATTAACAAGTTAAGAGTTGTGATATCTACTAGGTAACAATCACATCAACATCATATCTATTAAATAAAACTGATTCAGTCCATTGCATTTGAAAGAAATTCTTAATTTAAGAAGTTATGAGTTGTGATATCTATTATGTAACAATCACATCAACATCACATCTATTAAATAAAACTGATTCAGTCCATTGCATTTGAAAGAAACTCTTAATTTCAACGATCAGTAATTGCAGCTGTTTCTCTTCATTGTGATAGAGGCTGGTGTCATAGCCTTTAAGTGGGCCTTCATCATTAGTGCTGCAGCAAGTTTAACCCTTTGACTCCCAAGATTATTCTTCTTACTGTCTGCCATACAATTTATGTGATGTTAGTTTGGAGAATTTAGAATTGGATCAACCAATAATCCCCCAAGTGATATTTTTCTTTATTCTCATTACTTGTCTGCTTGATATCATATTGATAGTGTAAGGAGAAATTCTGTCTAGGTCACAAGTATGACTTAAACGGTTAACTCCCATGAATGACCAAGACAGAATATCTCCTTACAATATCAAGCAGACAAGTGATGAGAATAAAGAAAAATATCAGTTAGGGGATTATAAGTTCATCCAATACCAACTTTTCCAACCTAACATCACAAGAACTGTATTAGAATTACTAATGAGATCTTGGGAAATAAAGGGTTAAGGCCTTGAATAAAGCAAGTAGGCACAAAATATTTGGGCCAGGTTGTTCAAAGCTGGGTTAAGAAAACCCAGGGTTTGGTAGTGTGAAATCTGATTTCAGATTTGAAAGCTTTATCAGAAAACTCAGAAACATTCCTTTTGTCTACAAGTTATTGATCCATGGATGCCCTGAAAAGGATGGAGAAAATTATCCAAAAAAGGCTTTTGAACAAAGGAATAAAGAAACCCAGATTAAAATCTAACCCTGGAGTAGTGCTGATTGGACTTCAAACAACTAGGCCCAGACCTCTCGCAGGCAAGCATTGCTCAAAGGCGAAGAAACACCCTTACTGAAACACTAACAATGAGAGCATGCTGGCAGGCTTGTGATGTCAGGTCAAAAGGACCTACTCCACACCCTTAAAATGGGTCATAACAACTAAGTGCACAATATTGTGCCCTCTCAGAATCTCCTGAGACACTTGTCTGTGGTTCCAATGGAGGACATCTTTGCCATTTACTGATTTTAAAAACATTCGTACCTACAAGAGGAAAGTCTTCATATAATCAAAGTGTTACACAATCATTCTTGGGTTGGAAAAGGTTGAAAAAAACAGTTGTTAAAACCCTCAGCAATGAATTGAGAGGCCAAGTCCAATTTTAAAGGCATTACTGGGTGTCTTGTGGTTCCCAAGGTGAAGAAAAAAGAAAAAATTTGAAATAAATTTTCTGCATAAGAGAACAATTGGCTATCTGAGTTCAGCAGTTGGATAGCAAGGTAAAACATCACAATTACTTAAAGTGCTCATTGTCCAAAGTGAAAGTGAGATAAACAACTGCATAACACATAGTGTAACATTTCAGACCATGTTCTTTTCCATTTTTTAACCTTTTACGATTTATTAAGATTACCAAATGGTGACTTTGAAATAAGTTCAGCTTGTTCAAAACAAACTGAAATTTAACTCAAATAAAACTTGGAAGTCATCTGAGAAGTTACTTTTGACTGCCTCCATAATTGAAGTACATTGTGGCAAATAACTGGTTACCAATACAATAAGTTGGTTAGCTTGGTTGAAACTGAACTAAACAACTGAACCAGATAACGTGTCTTTAATTAAACTTTTTACATGACAATCACTGTGATAATTATTGCAATATATGAATTTAAGTGGAGTGCACCACCCTATGCATCATTATAAGCAGCACTTGCAATTAATAATTATAATAAAATGAAAGTTCAGCACAAAAACACATACCCCTTCCTAACCAAACATGAAACCTCACTAATTATCAGTTGACTGTTGTTAGGTTAAGGAAGGGTCAGGTGTCCAGTTGCTTAGATACTGACATTGACCCCAACAGCAACACTCCTTATCCTTTTTACAACAAAAGCAGAGACAGGTTCTGGACAAAACAACCTGATTTAAGTCATGTTCAGTTGTGACCAGTGTAAATAGAAAAGATGGACATCTCACACAGAACAAAGGAAGGGGCAGTGGATGGAAAGATATTACAACAACAAACAAGTCATACTGTTCTGACCTTTAACCCAGCAGCGGCTCCAGGACCTTTAGGATCAACTGTTTGGACATAGACAGGACTAGACCCCCGCACAACAAATCCAAAACCAACTGCATCACTCTTAACCTATAATGCAAAAAGAAAAAGCTTGCTGCTCTGGGATCAATTTTAGTATCTGAGCAACTACACACCTACCCCTCCCCTATCCCAACATTAACCCTGACTTGTTATCAGTTGATTGTTGTTAGGTTAGGGGAGGGGTTGTTGAGTAGTTGCTGAGAAACTGAGGTTGCTCCATGTTCTACAAGTATTAATTGGCCAACAAAATACATTTCTCTATTCTGCACTTTGAGAAGGGATGGAGTACTTACACTTATATTTTTCATGACATAAGGTCCATTTGGATCCATTAACTCTCCTGTGGTAATTTCTCTGACAATAACTAAAAAAAATGAAGAGAGAGAGAAAAGAAAACAAAAAATTAATTAATACCTTAAAAAAGGCTACTTCTGAGTAACATTTGCGCCAGTGAACAAAAGTACAATACAAAATTAATGCATAGGTCACATCCCTTAGTTTGGTGTTCTCTCAACCCAGGATCTGATCATCAATTCTCCCTTCTAGCTGCTACACATTTCCTTGTAAATAAGTCACATGAATTTAGTGATAGATCAGAACCACCAACCTCTACTTGATAAGTTTGAATATCCTCATTACATGTTGGCTGGATAATGTGTGGATATCTTAGGGAGAAGTTACATGTTAATCACTTCTGGGAGTTAAAGGGTTTAACTGTCCAGTCACATCCTGTACCTGGTCTGGGTGACTGGCTTGAACTACCACTTGAGGGGAAAAAAACTGGACTGTCTGGAGATCTTTCATAATCTGCAATTAGTTAAAGTTACTTGTAAGGTTAAACAATTCAGGAAAAATTTTAGGATATTAATATCATGTTTGTCTAAAACTGAATAAGTAACTTCAAAGAAAAACCAACCCTACCAAAGCTTTAAGAACCTGAGCCAATCAATTCTAGATGGTAGAGCAAATATGTTTCAAAAAAACAAAACAACTCAAAATACTGGTGCAACAGTGACATGGTTGTTAAATTGGAGTGGGAAATGCACCCTTCCCTCATTCAAACATTTATTTCATTACTTTGGACAACTCTGCTACAAAGGAACTAAAAATTAGAAGAAATGTCTAGGTTCAACAGTTGCCCTGACGGAATTATTCCCTTCTCCTCACCAAATTGTTCATCCAATTCTGGTCTTTCTTTTGCAAAAGGAACTGGGCTGGACCTTTGTGTGTTCAGAGGAGGTAGATTCCTCCGCCTGAAATTTCTTGGTGAGCCTGGCTGCTTATTATCAACAATTCCCAGTGCGTCCACCATTTTCTTGTTTACTACTTTGTCAATCATAAACTGATAAAAGATATTTTCATCACGGAAGTGAAATTCATCCGTAACTGAAAGAGAAAGAATACTAAAGTTTAGAGGTTGCCCTGTAAAGGAAGCAGAGGACTCTCTAAATAGGCAAAAAGCTTACTCTTTTTCCAAAGAGGTAATATATCCTTTTAAACCCAAACCTCAGTATCCATATTCTCCAAACTGCTCTCTATACTGACAAGGAGAATTTGTTACATAATTGTAGCTTCTTAGGTTGATGATCATTTCCTCTATTCTTGTGATCTTCATGAATGATTGAGCAGTATTAATGTACGGAGAAATGAGATGCTGGTCACTCTGTGCAATATTTACATATCCCACTTTAACTTAAGATCACATACAACATGCAAACACTAAGTAATAAAAACATTACAGCTTCAGTGCCACATAGCCACCAAACACAGGCTGTCACCCTTTACATTCTATCATCAGCATGCATATTCTCCATAATGTTCTCTATACATTCCCTAAATATAAAATTTAAAAGACTATTGCATAGACAGCTGCTGAACATTTTGATGTAAGAGGATAGTTAGTTGACGTCCATACTTTAATTGATAAATTTAGAAAATTAAAATCTTTTTGGTTTCATTTCTTGTTGTTGTTTTTTGCATGTAATTTTATTCTACTTGTAATATGTAATACCTAATTGGCTTATCTACAATTTATTGTACTGTTTTTCATCGTTTGTGTATATGCATGCTCTCCTAGTCATTTCCTCTGTTCAGTCAAACTTGTTATTGAAGAATTAATTTTAATGTTTGTTTTAGTTTCTCTCCCACCTTGATCAGCTTTTCTATTTTGTGGGTAGGGATTGTTAATAATAATACGCCTATAGCCCGAACATGGGTATATCCACAGTTTTCCTCTGTTCAGCTCTACATTGAGCCCTTCTCTTTTCATAATCCTGGACCCTCTTAGAGTTGTATGCGTCACAGACTACCCTTAGGGATTGTTAGATATGTATTTTAATTGCTAAAATAAATAAAGTTTGTTGTTGCTGTTGTTGTTGGTGGTACTGACAAAGTAAATTTGTTTATAAATCAGGAGCTTCTTTAGTTGGTGATCATTTCCCTTATTCTCCTGACCTTAATTGTTGATTCAGGGGTGATATTGTAAGGAGAAATTAGATGCTACAGTGTAGTCAAAAGGATCAAAGGCCTAAAATGTACATTTTGTCTCAAGTGCTTAATGAACTGCTAGCATTCTGGGTCTTTTTAAAGTACCATGCTTAATAATTCCCTGGTCTAACAGCTCTCTTCCAAGTACAACTCCATGTGCTCTGTCAGGAACTTCACTCTTTTGTATTAACCAGTCTACCAGCTCATATCCTGTGAAACAGTTCCTAAAGACAAAGTCATGACAAGGGCGTAACTTGATTAAATGGCTGTCCTCGTTCTTTGCCCTGCAACAGAAAAAGAAGTAAAGAGTCAGTTACCACGAGACTCAGAAAATCAGAGACCTGAGTTGTTGGCAAATTGAAATGATAAGCATAAAAATAAATAAGACTTCCTTCGTTAAATTCACCTGTAGTAAATATCACAACCCTTATATATTACATCAAGGTCAGAGTTTTTCACAACTGTATTATCATCTCTTCGAAATCTGTAAAACAACATCTCATCTTTGAAGTGATGGTCATCAACAACTGTCAAAGAAAGAAGAAAAAAAAGGAGAGGAGTTGGATGATAGAAGAGTCTTTACAAATAAAATCTTATTAAGACTGCAGGAGACAATTGTTGGTTGGTGGTCAGCATCCTTGAAGTAGCGTCAAAAGACATGGGAACTTGGTGCCCCAAATCCACCCATCAAGTGTTAACCAACTAGATTACATATTGCCGTGGGTCTCTTCAGTAAAATAATTATCATAGATAACCTGAAAATGTGGTAAGAACAAGAAAGTGGTGCATGAGACGCAGCCAAGTATTTATTCCAATTTCCACATTTTGATGTCTTCTGCAATCTATTACTGAACAGACTTCATTACTTTGTGATAAAAAGAAAAATTTTTAACAGTTATGTTTTTTTACGACTAATGGTTGAAACTTGTCGCTTTTTACGACTAAACGGTGAACTCGATTGGAACCCTCTTAAAGATGATCGTTGCAGAATCTTAACCAACCTTGTGAATGCAGTATTAGTAAGTATCATGTCAAATTGCTACTTGGCAAAGATTAAGTTCAACACGAACGTTACCGCCAAATGACAAAATGACAACCGGAGCCAGGCTTGTGTCAGGCATATCAATTAAGTCAGACTTAAGTTTAGCTGAAGTGCTCTATAAATACATAGAGCGTTAATCAACCAAGATATGGTAAAAACAGCAAACCTCCTGTTCCATAACGACTTTGTATGAAATTATGCAAAGGTGAAAACATTGAAAAAGACGCTCATCCGAAACTCGTTGCATTGTTCTGGCAGATAGCTGGATTTAAGCCACTCAGCGCGATACGTCACTAAAGAGCTTTCTCTATCAACAGAGAGCGTTTACAGCCGCCCTAACTAATCGCTAACATAGCGATAATAGCGTGAATAGATTCTTCCCTCAGACAAAATGCAATAAATAATGTAAGTACAAGTACTGTGTTGTTGTAGAAAAAGGAAAGGTGTGAAAGTATAGGATTAATTAGCAGCTTAACCTTTAATTATCAATTCGTCATGGGCTGGTGCGCTTGAGCGTACCGAGGCAGCTTTTTTTTTTTAGACCTACCGTGATGAATTACTCCATTTTCCAAAAGAATATCCATACATTGTACAGCTCCTGCACGGCTGTTAGCGTCGCTATTTTTCATCAACCAGTCAACAACGTCTCGACCTATAAAACAGCAAGGATACATACGGAGGTGATATCGCCTGTCTCGAATCATTGGAGGCTCTTGCTCGCTGTGCAACCGGCTCCTCAAGTGCTCTCCAACCAAAATGATATGCAAAGCTTTAAGAGAGAGTTGTTCGTTCATTTTCAATAATGAAAATATCAAATATGTGCCTCATAGCCAAAAGAACTGTGCAAAATCCACACAGCTGTGCAAAATCCTCACAGCTGTTACATGATCTCGTCGTGAGGAATCCGAAACCTTGAAGTGGAAGGGAAGGAGGAGGGTGGACTGGGGTGGAGTTGCCCCTTGCCTACCGACTGGGTGACAAGGTGAGGGACTGAGCGCTTGACTGAGTGACTGACTCACTGTCTGACTGACAAAGAGACTGCCTACCTGAGCACTTGATAGACTGGGTGACCAAGTGACTGACTGACTGGCAGACTGAATGACTTGCAGATATAGTGGGTCACAAACTGCCTAAATGACTGAGTTATTGAATGTTTAATTACTGACTGACTATATTCTGTATCAACAAAGCAATGTCCCACTGACTGACAGACAAGTTGTTGCACTATAATTTCTCCTGAATCAGTAAGTTGATTTACCCCATGTTTCACTGGTCAAGCTGTTATAATGTAAGTCTTTCCTGAATAGCTACTTCTTGAGTTGTTTGTTTCATTTCACCCCCTCACAAGGTTGATGCTGCTTTTAGAGAAAAGGCTGTTCTTTTTTGTAAAAAATGTTCCAGCCTTTGAAAAAAATCTGTCATATTACTCCCTTCCCTTCCCATTTTCTTCAATGGTCACTCTCCTTTATAGAGAAGAGGTTTAAATATAGAACATGTGCTACATAACATGCTGTTTAACTCTTGACAAAACATTTTTGCAGCATCTTATATCATGTGATTTAAACCAAAGAGACAACAACGCAAGAAACATTCCAGTGACATTCAATCAATATATGCTTCATCAAACTGCAGCTCCTTTAGATTAAAGAAAGGTCTTGCACCACCCCTTTATTTTTCACTCAAACAAACATCTTATTACTTTAATACTAATTGCATACCTTGAGGGATTGATCATGACACATTTAACCAAGAAAAATTCATTTATTTTCATTATGACATACGAATGAATAAGAAACGTTTAATAACACTATGTAAAAAATGGTTCACATTTGTAGTTGACTGGGTTCAACTAGCCATGGTTCATTTATGCTTTAAATACCTCTAATGAGCTCTATACAAAATCGCCCTCATATTAAAAGATGGCAAGTTTCAAATGTTACTATATCTTTTTTCTATTATCATTTGGATCAAGAGAGTGCAACTAGAAACTGAAAACTTTCAAAATAAAAGCACAACTTCGCATAGCCAATGAAAGAACAATTGTAATATAAATAATTAATTCACAATTAATTAAGCTAAATGTACCATGTCATCTACATTTTTTATACACTTAAATTAATAAGTTCATCTTATCCTTTTATTTGTAATGCCAAATAATTTTTAGGGAGATTCCAACTTCAGCAAAAATCCAGAGATTGATCAAAGGAATGTTTCTCCTCTTGTGTTAGGGTTGTGTTAAGGGTGCAGGCACTATCATCATGGGAACGTCCACTCATCATGCGGCAGAGCGTGTACTTACGACAACTATCATCGCATGAATCGTGTCGTGCAGATTTTGTGTAATATCTAAACAAATATTAAAAAATATTAACAAAAGTCCAGAATATAAATCACTTATAAGGATCCTA